GTGGGGACAGTGGTGAGGGGACAACGGGACAGTGGTGGGGACAGTGGGACAGTGGTGGGGACGGTAGTGGCGGGGACAATGGCGAGGACAATGGTGGGAACAGTGGGGACAGTGGGACAGTGGTGGGGGCGGCGGTGGTGGGGACAGTGGTGTGGGGACAGTGGGAATGTGGTGGAAACAGTGGGACAGTGGAGGGTACAGTGGTGGTGGGGACAGAGGTGAAGGCGGTGGCGAGGACGGCGGTGGGAAAATGGGACAGAGGTACAGTGGGGACAGTGGTGGGAACAGTGGGGACAGTGGTGGGAACAGTGGGACAGCTCAGTGGGACAGCGGAGGAGTCAGTGGGACAGTGGGGACAGTGGGGATAGTCGTGGAGACAGTGGGGAGAGTGGAACCGTGGTGGGAACAGTGGTGGGGACAGTGGGGACAGTGCGACAGTGGTGGTGGCAATGGTGGGGACAGTGGGGACGGTGGTGGAACCAGTGGGGACTGGTGGTGAGGACAGTGGTGCTGGGAACAACAGAGGGGGATGTGATGCGGACGGTGGTAGGGACCGGGAGTTGTTTGCTGGCGGTGCGTTTGGGGGGGGGGTCGAACGGTAGTGACCCCCCTCCGGTTTTCGAGGGGGGGGGGCGGGGTTCGAACCGGTAGTGACCCCCCCCGGTTTTCCGGATCCGGAGGGGGGGGGGGGGAGGGGTTACAACCGGTAGTGACCCTTCTCGGTTTTCGAGGGTTAGGGGGGGGGGGTGCCGGGGGAAGGGGGGGGGAGGGGTTCCAGCAGGGGGAGACGGGATTACCGGGAGGGGGGGGGGGGAGACCCCCGGGCTCCGGACGAAAAGGGCGGCAATTTTCCACAGTAAAGGGGCGGTGGATCACGCTCTCTCCTTGTTTAAGATGCCTGATCTGCTATAGTCTGCGCTACACGATACGAGCAATGACAGCATCAGCATTCATATGTTGGACGGTTTGGCGCGCGGAGCGAAGGATGTGAACGGAAACATGGTTTGCTCATGACTTGCGCAAAGTGTTGACAAAAGGGAAATCAGGCGAGCGTTGATATTGTCCGTGTCCGCGTCCAACCTCGGACCCCCGCCGTGGTGCACGTGAGCGGGGTCGTGTTTCGTACGTACCACCGCTTGGAGCAGAGGCTACGCTCCGTAGCTCGTCGCCTGCGGACGTGCCTCTGCCGACCAGGCTCCGTCCACGAAGCGCTTTCCAGGCCTTCCAGGCTCCGTCCACGGACGCTTTCCGCGGGCTGCGAACGGGGTGGCGCGCGCGGCGGGTGAGAGCCGCCGTGGACGGCGAAGGGCAAGGGCGGTAGGAGACAACATATCGGAAAAACCAACACGTCACGAGCGAGGGGGAGCCGCGATCAGAATCTCGCCGTGCACTGGCCCCCTTCGATCTTGAGGGGAGAAGACGGAGGCGGATGTTCTTGGACGAGGAGGAGGAGGAGGAGGAGGAGGAGGAGGAGGCCTCCTTTGGTCTGAGGGGAGGAGACGGAGGCGGCTGTCCTTGCGCCGGCACTGCACGGCAGGCGTGGGGCATGCAGAGTGCGCGGTGGCGCCGGCGATGTCTTCTCACCCACGCGTCTCCTCCCCCGTCTTGTGTCCCGTCCGCCCTTTCCTCCTCCTCCCCCTCCTCCTCCTCCTCCTCCTCCTCGTCCCCCTCCTCCTCCTCCTTTTCCTCCTTCTCCTCCTCCTCCTCCTCCTCCCCTCCTCCTCCTCCTCCTCCTCCTCCTCCTCCTCCCCCCCTCCTCCTCCCCCTCCTCCCCTCCTCATCCTCCCCCCCCTCCTCCTCCTCTACTCCTCCCCCTGCAGCTTCCCGTCCCGCCCCAAACCCCCACCGAGTTGTTTTACCAGGATCTCGAGGCGAAGCGATGACGACGAGAGCTCCCCCCCCGTGCCCAGCAGGCTCAAAAGAAAGCACAAGCAGAGCAGAGCAGCAGCAAAGACTTGCAGGCGCCTTCAGAAGCCCCCCCCCCCCCCGGGACCCACGGAGGCCCCACAGGTAAGCAAGAGCTCGTCGTCCTCCTCCTCCGCCTCGCAATCTCAGTCCTCCTCCTCCTCCTCCTCCTCCTCCTCCTTCCCCTCCTCTGCCTCCTCCTCCCCCCCTCCTCCTCCTCCTCCTCCTCCTCCTCCTCCTCCCTCCTCCCTCCTCCTCCTCCTCCCCTCCTCTTCCTCCTCCTCCTCCTCCTCCTCCGCCTCCTCCGCCTCCTCCGCCTCCTTCGCCTCCTCCTCCTCCTCCTCCTCCTCCTGCTGCCCCTCGCAATCTTCCTCCTCGCAATCGTCCTCTCCCTCCCCCTCCCCTCAACATTCCGGCGGCGCGCACAAGGGATGGCGCAAGGGCGGTCTGCTCGGAAGGCGCGCCCTTCTCAGAAGGGCTGAGACTGGGCAGACGACATGGGGGTGCGTAGTAGAAGTGATTCGGCGAATCAGCTCACGAAGCTGGCTTTCCCTGCGCTGGGGGGAGGCGCCCATGTTCCGAGGAACGCGCCCGTGACCGAAATCGGCTGCGTGCAGTAGATTTCGTTCGCCTTTTTTGCCCCAACCCTCCCGAGAGGCCTTGCCTTTGAGAGGCTCCCAAGCCTCCGTAGAAGGCCGCCCCGCCCCCCTGGCGCCACCCACTCATGCGCGCCGCTTGGCTTTCGGGACAGCTCTGGTCTCTGGCGGCCGTTCAGGACCTTAGTTAGGCGACGAGCCCAGGGGGGAAATGAGAAGGAGAAGGCCTTCTCAGAAGGCCGCGGGACTTCTTAGAAGTCCGGGGGGCTTCTGAGACGTTTCCTTGGCCTATTTCGAATACAGAGAACTTCTCAGAAGCCTTCTCAGAAGTCCAGAAACTTCTCAGAAGCCTCGGAAGCCCCGCCCCTTCTCATTTCCCCCCCGCGCCCGCCGCCGATTAGTGGTCTCTGGAAACGACAGGGCCGTATTGTTTCGTTTTCTTGTTACACTTTGTTGGTTGGCGGTGGCGCCGTTCTTGTTCCGTTTCCGGCGCATTTTTTTTTGTCCCGGCTCCGGTTCCATTCCCAATCCCGGAGTAGTGGTTTCCGTTCCGGCGAGCAAGTTGTGTACAGGTTCCATTATGAAGATCAAGATGTTTGGGAAACGTGAACAAAAAAAAAAAAAAAAAAAAAAAAAAAAAAAAAAAAAAAAAAAAACGACGGAAGGACCCCACATGAGAATCTTCTGGGCGAATCTGGAAAAAGGCCCTCATCGTCGTCCTCGTGGTTGGTGAGGCGTCCTGGCTGTCTCTTCTGCGTATATTTCTTCTCGCCCTGGCGCGGGCCCTCCCCCCGCTCCCTACGTTGCCCGATCTCGCCCTCTTGTTTTGGCTCCGGACATTCAGAAAGTGGCCCGGGAGTGCTGTTCTGGGAACACGAAGAACACGAAGTGGCCTACAGTTGGCTCGGGGCATTCAAAATGTGGCCCGGGAATGGTGTTCTGGGGGCACGAAGAACACGAAATGGCCTACAGTTGGCTCCGGACATTCAGAATGTGGCCTGGGAATGGCGTTCAGGCAGCGCCGGAGCCCAAAAGTGGCGACAGTTACAGGAATTGGATGGCCCGCTCGGATTAGTAAGATGATCCGCGGGCCCCATAGGGAGGGGGCTCCTGCTTGAGACATCCTCGCAATTCACTCACAAATATGGCCTGGGAATGGCGTTCTGGCAGCGCGAGAGCCCAAAAGTGGCGACAGTTACAGGAATTGGATGACCCGCTCGGATTAGTAACATGATCTGCGGGCCCCATAGGGAGGGGGCTCCCGCTTGAGATTTCCTCGCAATTCACTCACAAACGAGGCCCAAGGCGAGTGAGTGAGTGAGTGAGTGAGTGACTGACTGACTGACTGACTGACTGACTGGTGATGATGATGATGATGATGATGATGATGATGATGATGATCATCATCATCATCATCATCATCATCATCATCATCACACTCTCTCACGCGCACACTCATCATCATCATATGTGAGTGCTGATGAGTCAGTGAGTGAGTGAGTGAGTGAGCGAGCGAGTGAGTGAGTGAGTGAGTGAGTGTGTGAAGGATGATGAGTGAGTGAGTCAGTGAGGAATGAGTGATGATGATGATGATGATGATGATGATGATGATGATGATGATGATGATGATGATGATGATGGTGGGTTCCTGTTCCTGCGCGGGGTGTCCAGAGAAAACAATAACCCCACTTTGGATGTGGGGAATAATACCATTGTCGTTTTCAAGAACTACGAAGTTCAGGACCACCTCGGCACCCCCAGGAATCCTTCGCCCAGCCGCCGTTGCTGGAACGAATCTTGGGGCATGACATGCTTTTACGAACCGACGAATCGTAACCGAAAGCGCAGTCCCAGATGCCCACCCGCATTCTTAGACGGCCGCCTCGAGCTCGCTGTTAAGCTGTCCCTGCCCGCGGTCTCGGCGGTTCTCGATACATTTATTTATATACATATATGTATATGTATATATAAATGGATATGCGTATGCGTGTGTGTGTGCGCCTGTGTGCTATACAGACGTATATACATGTGACAATACATGCGGCCACCTATATACAACTACATTTGTATCTACCACTCGTATATACCACTCGATACCCACATGTATGCATGCATCCAAACAAGTTCACATGTACACACCGCGTCGCTCGGTCGGATGAACGCGGCGAGGGTTTCTTGTGCATAGACGCGCCAGAATCCCATTAATTGGAAATTTTGGGCGTCTGTACACCGAGTCCCATGGGCAACCAGACGACTTGGTGTATACGTCGAGCCCCTCCCCTGCTGTGGTGACCCATGGGTTTTTCCAAGAGCCTGGGCGGACATTGGATATGTCGCAGTGCCTGTGCTCCCGTTGTTTGCCTCGGTGCCAGCTTGGAGTCCACGCGAGGCTGCAGATTCTGTCCGCTCAGCGTCCCCTCACCTTCCCTCCTCCTCAGAACAGATCGTCGAGCCCCCCCCTCCGTCGGAAGCGCGTGCGAATGCGGCGCCCAGCGGAAGGCTGCCATCTGCGGGGAGGACGCGCAGTTCGAGTGCAGCCGTGTCACGGAGGCGGCAGGGGGAAAGCAAAAGGATGAGGAGACGAGGATAATGACAAATGAAGAGGAGGAGAAGAAATGAGGAGGAGGAGGTTTGGGGGGGGGGGAGCGGGAGGAGGAGGAGGAGAAGGAGGAGGATCAGGGGCAGGGGGGTCCAGTTTGTTGGACGTTTGAGGCCCTCTCTCCGAATCGGCCGGGCCCCAAAGAACAGGGATAAGAGGAGACTTCGGGCAGGGGAGAGGGGAGAGGAGGAGGGGACAAGGCAGGTGCGCCCGCGCCATTATTTGTTCTTTATTGGCAGATACCCCGTGCCTCCACCGCAGCCGGCCGACAGGCCCAGGACGCGGGCCTGCCCACCCGAACCGCACAAGCACAACACACTGCCCACGTGTTTCGGCTCAGCGTGGACATTCGTCGGCAACGCGCAGAGGGGGGTAGGGGGAGGGGGGAAGGCTTCTTAGAAGCACCCCTGCTTCTTAGAAGGCGCGGGCCTTCTCTATAGGTAAGGCCGAGGCCTTCTAAGAAGCAGGGTGCTTCTAAGAAGCCTTCTTCCCTACCCCCTTTTGCGCGCCGCCAAATTCGGTCGTCCACGTTGCAGGATGCGTGGCGGGAGTTGGGCGGGGCGGACATCAACGCGAGAGAGGCCGAAGTGTCGCTCTCGCCTCGGCGCCACGCCCTTTTTTTTGTTTTGGCTGTCTCGAAGAGCGCACTTCGTATCTGTCTTTGTCCTTGTTCCTGTTTTTGCCTTGTTTGTTGCTGTCTTTGTGCTTTGTTGTTTGCTGTGTTTGTTTTTGTTTTTGTGTCTGCTGTTTTTTGTTGTTGTTGCTGTCGGAGCGCCCGCTCGGGCGCGGCGCACGCTCCTCGCACGCAGGCTCGTCGACGCGCCAGCGGGGGAGCAGGTCGCTCCCGCCGCGGCGCCGCGCGGATTTCGCCCGAGCCTGGCGTTCCCGCCCCGGCGCGGCGCATTTTGAACAATCAGGAGGAGAAACAAACACGCAGACACAAGTCATCGTCGACTCCCTAGAAAAGATAGTAAAATATGGGAAGTGGGGGGGAGACAAAACCCAGAAACCATAAAATACACGCAGACAAAATAATCAGGAAGACGAAACACACGCAGACACAATTAATCGTCTATTCCTTAGGAAATATGGAAAATGTGGGAAGTGGGGGGGGGGACAAAATCCAGAAAATACACGAAAATACTGTAAATCCTGTTATTTGTGTTTATGTATGTGTGTCTCCCAGGGCTCCTTCCTTTTAGTCGTTCGCCCATTTCGAGGGGCCCGCGCGAGCTGGCGACTTGCTGCCCTCGCCCGAGTTCTGTGCGCATTCGGTCCGGAAGCAGCGCTCCGGCGCGCGCGTGCGCGGCGCAGGGCTGGTTCGCCCAGGCGCACGGGAGCGACAGCGGCAGCGGGGCTGCGCGAGAGCGGGCTGGCCCAGCTTGTGACGAACGAGCAACACACACACACACCCATACCCATAGGGGGGTCGTTGGGAGGAGGACCGGCTATGGGTATGGGTGCGGGTTGTCGGACCCTGGGGAACGCTCCCGTTCGAGCGGGGACCCCCATCCGACAACACGCACCCACAGCCCTCTCCGACCCCTCTATGGGTATGGGTGTGTGTGTGTTGTTGGTTCGTCAAGCTTGCGCGTGACAGTGACAATGCCGTGTCAGCCCGGCGTATGCTTTGTCTTCGCCGCGCCCATCGGAAGTTTTGCCGCCCCCGCCCGAGCGCGGCCCGCGGAGTCTTCTCACTGCCACGTCAGGGGGCTTCAGCGCCGATCCGAGACATCCGCGCGGACCTCCTCCGAGTTTTTATGTTCAGTCAGGCCTGTCTCTCTACAGGAGGACTACTCAAAGATAATAAGAAACAGTCGGGGAACGATTCCCTGAAGAGGGTCATCGTCGCTGCGTCACCGCCGTGGACGCTGCTGGCGGCCGCCAGCGTCGGCCCCAAATGCCAAGTTACGCCACAGTTGTTTCTTATTTTACGGGAGGGAGGTTCGGAGTAGGCCGGGCCACTTGTTCTGACCTGTCGGCTTGGCCAGTTTGGTGTGACATCATGTCCCCCCACCCCGGCCCCACCCCCCACCACCCGCCATCTGCTGACGGGTTGCACAGCGAACCTGGTACCCCGAACCCCATCGAGTTATGCGCAATCAGAAAGGGGAGCTATGTACATTGGAGGAGGAGGTGGCGGACCAGCAGGAAGATGGGCAGGAGGCAAAGAAAGAGGATGATGAAGGAAGAGGAGGAGGTATAACGGCAGCAGTAGGAAGAAAAGGAGGGGAAAGGATCCGAGTCCATTAAAAAGTGACCCGCGTTGGGGCGACAGCGCCAATTCGATGGACGGGAGCAAGCGCTGATCCGAAAATGGGGCCCACGTTGCAGCGGGAACACCATTTTCGAAACACCGGAAACGCTCCGATTGCAAAACGTCCCATGAGCCAACAAGCATTGGGTTCTGTGTGCAAAGAATAACAGCACACGGAACACCGGGTCACTTCCAGGACGTAGTTGGGTGAGAGCGGTGAGCAGTTCCCCAAAGAGTGTTTGCAGTTACCGAAGGTGTTTTGGCGTTATCAAAGATTTTGTTGGGTATTCTGGGTGTTCGGTTGGTGCCCATCCGAGGGCGCCGCGTGGGCGCCCCGCGCGGAGGGGATGCGCAGGATTTGGCACCTCGTGGGCGCCCCGCGTTGGGAGGTGTGCCGGGGTCTTGCCCAGTGCCTGGGCGCTTGGTGGGCGCCCCGATGTGTTGCACAGTGTGGATTCTTTTTACCTAGCAGCGAAGACTGATAGGTTTCTAGTAGTGTCACAAGAGAGCATCATGACTCCCCAGGGGGGTCTGGGCAGGATCCGGGGAGAATCCGCGGAAGTCGTTTTAAGCAAACGGTTACACACTTCGTGGTCTTCGAGGTCCCAGAGCTCCATTCCCGGGCCACATTCTGAATGCCCGGAGCCAACTGTAGGCCACTTCGTGCTCTTCGAGTTTCCAGAACTCCATTCCCGGGCCACATTTTGAATGTCCAGAGCCAACTGTAGGCCACTTCGTGCTCTTCGAGTTCCCAGAACTCCATTCCCGGGCCACATTTTGAATGCCCAGAGCCAAATGTAGGCATCTTCGTGCTCTTCGAGTTCCCAGAACTCCATTCCCGGGCCACATTTTGAATGCCCGGAGCCAACTGTAGGCCACTTCGTGGTCTTCGAGTTCCCATAACTCCATTCTTGGGCATGATTTTGAATGTTCAGAGCCAACTGTAGGCCACTTCGTGTTCTTCGAGTTCCCAGAACTCCATTCCCGGGCCACATTTTGAATGCTGAGGCAGGCTGATGCTGAGCTGAGGCAGGCTGAGGCTGAGGCAGGCTGAGGCTGAGGCTGAGGCTGAGGCTGAGGCTGAAGGGCTGAGGCTGAGGCTGAGGCTGAGGCTGAGGCTGAGGCTGAGGCAGGCTGAGCTGAGGCAGGCTGAGGCTGAGGCTGAGGCTGATGAGGCTGAGGCAGGCTGAGGCAGGCTGAGGCTGAGGCAGGCTGAGCTGAGGCAGGCTGAGGCTGAGGCTGAGGCTGAGGCTGAGGCTGCAGGCTGAGGCTGAGGCAGGCTGAGGCTGAGGCTGAAGGCTGACTGAGGCTGAGGCTGAAGCAGGCTGAGGCTGAGGCTGAGGCAGGCTGAGGCTGAGGCTGAGGCAGGCTGATGCTGAGGCAGGCTGAGGCTGAGGAGGCTGAGGCAGGCTGAGGCTGAGGCAGGCTGAGGCTGAGGCCGAGGCTGAAGGCAGACTGAGGCTGAGGCTGAAGCAGGCTGAGGCTGAGGCTGAGGCAGGCTGAGGCTGAGGCTGAGGCAGGCTGATGCTGAGGCAGGCTGAGGCTGAGGCTGATGCAGGCTGAGGCTGAGGCAGGCTGAGGCTGAGGCCGAGGCTGAAGGCAGACTGAGGCTGAGGCTGAAGCAGGCTGAGGCTGAGGCTGAGGCAGGCTGAGGCTGAGGCTGAGGCAGGCTGATGCTGAGGCAGGCTGAGGCTGAGGCTGAGGCTGATGCAGGCTGAGGCTGAGGCAGGCTGAGGCTGAGGCCGAGGCTGAAGGCAGACTGAGGCTGAGGCTGAAGCAGGCTGAGGCTGAGGCTGAGGCAGGCTGAGGCTGAGGCTGAGGCAGGCTGATGCTGAGGCAGGCTGAGGCTGATGCAGGCTGAGGCTGAGGCAGGCTGAGGCTGAGGCCGAGGCTGAAGGCAGACTGAGGCTGAGGCTGAAGCAGGCAGGCTGAGGCTGAGGCTGAGGCAGGCTGAGGCTGAGGCTGAGGCTGAGGCAGGCTGAGGCTGAGGCTGAGGCTGAGGCTGAGGCTGAGGCTGATGCAGGCTGAGGCTGAGGCAGGCTGAGGCTGAGGCCGAGGCTGAAGGCAGACTGAGGCTGAGGCTGAAGCAGGCTGAGGCTGAGGCAGAGGCAGGCTGAGGCTGAGGCTGAGGCAGGCTGATGCTGAGGCAGGCTGAGGCTGAGGCTGAGGCTGATGCAGGGTGAGGCTGAGGCAGGCTGAGGCTGAGGCCGAGGCTGAAGGCAGACTGATGCTGAGGCTGAAGGCAGGCTGAGGCGGAGGCAGGCTGAGGCTGAGGCAGGCTGAGACTGAGGCTGAGGCAGGCTGAGGCTGAGGTTGTGACTGCGACTGCCGTTGCCACTGCGACTGTCATCGCGAATGCGACTACGACTTCGAGGACAGCAGAATTCTACAACTGGATTCTCATCTGAATCTTAAGGGGTATGCTTCCAGATATGCTCCTACACATCGCTGTTAGGTTGCTTTGCCGGGATAATTTGTTTTAAAGAAACAAAGGGATCGAATTGACCCCCCCTGGGAACCGATGTAAAACACATATTCGGGAGCCTTGAGACGGGGGTCAACGCAAACGTGGGTCAGCCAGAGCGCCCGATCTTGCAGGATCCTGTAGGGCCAGGGTCGCATTGACCCAGGCTTGGGAGCAGGATCCTGCAGAATCTTGCAGGATTCTTCGCGTTGACCCGGGCTTGGGTGCAGGATCTTGCAGGGTCTTGCAGGAGCCTGCGAGGCCCCATTGACCCGGGTTTGGTTTGACCTGGGCCAGAAGGTCCCCGACATATGATCCTGACCCAATTCCCATCCCACCTGTGAGTTCATACTCTCCCAGCCAGGCCGGTTTCGGCTCCCTCCGCCATCCTCTGCAAAACATATTATGCGCGCGCATTCGTTTATCAAAAATCATCCGTATTCAAGAATATCTTGGGAAACAGCAGGACGAAGTGCACACGTGCGCGTCGCCGCGCGCGCATTCCGAAATCCGTCAACAACTCTTGGTTCTCAAGGATGTCAAAATCGAGCGTCCAAAAAAACATGTACACACACGGTTCCGCAACACTGGTTTCAAAAAATTGAGCGCGCGTGCTTGCGAATTCTGAAGAAGGCCATGACTTTCAACACTTCCAGAACATACTACCCAACGGGTTTCGCGCGCGCATGTCGAAATCGTTCGGACGCCCTTGTGCTCGTGCTGGGGTGGCACGATCCGTTTCAAATAGCACCATGCGGGCCAATGTCGCGCGTCTGTCGCGCGCGCATTTTGAATTCTGTCCAAAACCTTTACCACCGACGCGAAGACGCCGTCATCGTCGTCGGCGTGATCAGCATCGGCGCCGTCACTGGCTGCCCCGTCGTCGCTGTCAACATCGTCGCCAGCATCGCTACGATCATCATCGTGTCTACCGTTGTCGACGCAGCCATGATACGCGCCCGCCCAATTCGCCGACTCGCACTGAAGTGCCCGCTGGAATGTGCCGAGCGGTCAGCGCCACCGCGTTCGTTTCGGTCGCGCCAAACTACCTGGCCGATGCGTGCGCGCGCATGCGCGGGCTGGCCCGGCCGAATAGATGCACCAACCAGCGCCAAGCACGCATCGCAATCGCTTGTGCATGGGGTTTGCAAACCAAGTTGCGGGTGGGTGGGTGTGACGTTTGCGCGAAAAGTGGAGTGCACAACTTCACGTTGAGCAAGTGATTGATTGCACCACATAGTTTGCGCATCCCCAGTGCATGCGGTAACCAAGAGGCACCCACTCGGGTTAACAGACTCATATGGAGTAATTTTGGAGGAGAGGAAGGGGGAGGAGGAACAGGAGGATCAGGAGGAGGAGGAGGGGTGGAGGAGGATCAGGAAGAGTAGGAGCAGGAGGAAAAGGGGAAGGAGGAGGAGGAGGAGGAGGAGGAGGAGGAATGCCGTGACCCGGGACCAATCGACACGGGGCAGTCGGCCGCGACCAGCCTGGCTAACCCCGCATGTGGGTTGCGCCTGGGCGCGGCGCCCGCGGCAGCTCCCCTGGCAGCAAAGCGCCCGTGCCGCCGACAAGCCATGTTGTCCATGGCCAAGTGGCTCGCCGTTCGAGCCTACTACCGCTCACACGTGCTCGCGTCGTGAAAGAAGCATGACGGGAATCATTTGGCCATGTTCGGTTTCTGGGGGCCCTCGCCGAGCCCTGGGGCCGTCCAAAACAATTTCGGGACGAAACACCAGCCTCGGGGAACCGTTCAGGACTTCTGGGGCGCCCGGGTTTGAAAAGGGGGATAGGGTCAGGGGGGGGGAGACGTACGGACCCCCAATCGCTCAATGATCGCCGAGAGAGGCCCGATGGCCCACCCCGGCCCAGGCCCCTGCGGATGGGTGGCAGCGCTTTCTCGCATCCGCCAGGAAGGATCGTAAGCCTTCCAGTGGCGGCCGTTGTGGCGCACTGCCTGAGCGAGCTCTGGCTATAAACAGAACCGTCAGGCTCTCTGCGTCTGCAGTTGCAGCGATAACGCTCCTCTTGTATGCATGCTGACCCTGTCTTGCACACATGGGGGGCATGTGAACAATCTCGCCGATCCTTGCACTCTGGCCCCTCTGTCAAGTTTTGCGAAGTCGGCCTGGAGTAGAATTACGCGGCGACAAGCGTCCCAAACCTCCACATATCAGGAGGCGGAGGGGGGGGCAGAGGGGCCGGGCGCGAATGCGGCCCCGCCATCAAGGGCAGGGGTCCTGAGAGAGAGGGGTCCTGGAGGATGGCTTTCGCGGTGCTGGGTCTCCTGTCGGCGGCGAGCGAGGCGGGGGAGTGAGCAGGAGAGGGCCCTCTCGGGAGGCGGCGGGGCTTCTCAGAAGCCCTCGCGCCTTGTGTTATGTCGGGCGTGTCCCCCTACAGGGGATTCTCGACCAAAAATTGAAAATACCTTAAACATATTCAAAAAATGATCCCCAGCCTATTTTTGGACTGTTTGGGGTATTTTTTATTTTTCGTCGAAAATCCCCCTGTAGGGGGACAGGCCCGACTTAAGCCTTGTGGGAAGCTTCCTGTGTCGTAGAAAGCTTCTCACAAGGCGGGGGGGACTTCCGAGCTTCCTGAGAAGGCCCGCCCCTCCTCGCTTCCCCCCGGGCGTGCCGCCGAACTCGGAGAGTCCGCGCGCGGCGCCGTTTGTTAAGCCTTCGCGATGGCATGGGGCAGGCGCCCGAACTCCACGAGCCCGATCCCGACCTGGATCCTCCCTCGAAGGGGCGGGGGAGGATCAAGGTCGGACATCGTGCACATGTCGTACAGTCGGGGGCTTGACCTAAGGAACCCAAAATAAGGTACGAGGCACCTTTTTTTCCATAAGTTGAACTTCGATTTCGTATCGAAAACCTAAGGAAAACCTAAGGCAAGCTGCGAAACAATTAAGGAGCACGGAGCCCCTCCCCATCGAAAAGGGTTCCTTCTTCAGGGCCCCGACTGTACCGAGCGCGTTGTGCGCTGCGCGCCCATCCCCTTCGACGGGACAGCTTCGCTGAGGTGGCGTCCGTCCGTCCGTCCGGCGAAGGGGCGGGGGAGGGGGAACGCGGCCTGCCCGCCCCACGGCGAGATCCTCACTCTGGGCTACAGGCTCTCGGCGTTCTGGTCCGTCGTCGCCTGGGCGGTGGCAGGAGTCCCCCCCAGGGTGGAGGAGCGAGGCGGAGCACAAGGGGGGGATATGGAGGGGGCGGAGGAGGAGGAGGAGGAGAAAGAAGAAGAAGAAGAAAAAGAAGAGGCGGGGTAGAAGGACGAGGAGGGGGGACCAGAAGAGGATGAGCGGGAGGGGGGGGGACAGCATGAGCAGGATAAGGGGGGGCGGGAGGCGATAGGGAATGGGGAAAGGGATGAGGACAGAACGGGAGGAGGAGAAGAAGGAGGAGGAGGAAGAGGAAGAGGAAGAGGTATAGGAGGAGGAAGAGGTTGAAGAAGAGATGGAGGAGGAGAAGGGGCATGTCAAGACACCCCTCCCAGACGCAAATTGTTCTTCCAACGCAGAAGTTGCACCCGAGTCGCAGCATGTCGCCCGAGAGCGCCACGCATGCCATGTGCGCCACCAGTCCCAGGTGCATCAGGCACCCCAGAGGCCCAAGCGTGCTAGGCGCGCCACGTGCTCCACGTGCGAAAAGTGTGCCAGATGCCACCACCGAACTTCTGTCACCGGATGGACAGCCACGGGGAACCACCCAGATGCTTGGGGGCCCGAACCGAAAGAACTAATGATCTTGGATCCCCCTGAAGCAAGGTGCCGAACTCCCTGTGAGGGCAGCTCCTCCCAGAAGCGCAGATAACCGGCACCGATACAGAACATGTGTCATGTTGAAGAGCCGTGGGACGGGCAAGCTCAGAGAGAGCCCCCCTGGAAGCTCAGAGATGTCGTCAGCTATCAAAGTGATAGCGGGGTGCAATATGTTGGCTTCTCCACCGTACCTCACCCCCCCAAAAAAAACATGCAAAGTAGTCGTTGGACGCCCGCGCATGCTCCAGATGTGGAGGCAAGACTGTACCGTTGTTTGACGGGGGTCTGTGATGCGCTAGTCTTCCTGCTTCAGAGTCGAGCCTCTGTGTGCGCGCAATCCCTTTGCAAGCTTTTCCTAGCATTGCCACAAGGAGCTGCCAACAGTGCACCACGCGTCCTTCCGAATTCTCGGCTCAGCCATGCCACGCCGGTGATCAAGAGGAGGATTGGATTGGAGGGGGCGGGAGAGAAGGAGGAGGGCAGGAGGGCGAGGGAGAAGGGGGGGAGCTGGGGGAGGGATGGGGGGAAACGTGGGGAACCGGGACAGGGAAGGGAGCGCGGGACGCACGAGTGGGCGCCGTCGGAGGCGCAGACGGCGGTGCAAAATCGGGGAGGGGCGGGAAGGGAGCCGGGGCGGGAGGAAGTTGAGGAGGGAGGGGAGAGGTGGGGAGCGTGGGGAGGAGGTGGAAGGGGATGGGGAGGGCAGGAAGGGGGGCAGGAGGCGAGATGGGAGAGCGGAGGAGGAGGAGGAGGAGGAGGAGGAGGAGGAGGAGGAAGAGGAGGCGGAGGAGGAGGAGAGGAGGAGGAGAAGGAAAAGGGAGGAGGAATAGGAGGAGGAGGAGGGAGGAGGAGGAGGGAGGAGGAGGAGGAGGGAGGAGGAGGGAGGAGGAATAGGAGGAGGAGGAGGAGGAGGAGGAGGAGGAGGAGGAGGAGAGGACGAGATATGGGCACCGGCACGGGAGTGGGGTCGGGGCAGGCGCGCAGGACACGGGCGGAGGGGGGAGGGGGCAGGTGGGGCGGCAGGAGCGGGACAGGAGTTGGGCGGGGAGAGGGAGGGAGAGGAAGAGGAAGAGGAATAGGAAGAGGGAGAGGGAGGGAGGTAGAGGGAGAGGAAGAGGAAGAGGGAGGGAGAGGGAGAAGGGGGGGAAGAAGAGGACGGGGAGGAGGGCGGGGAGGCGGCGGAGGAGGGGGAGGAGGAGGAGGAAGAGAGACGGAGGGGGGAGCGGGAGGAGGGAGTGGGGGGGAAGAGAGAGCAGGAGGGAGAGGGAGGAGGAGGGACGGAGGTGGGAGGGGAGGGCGGGATGGGAGCGCCAGGGCCACGGGCAGGCGGGGAAGGCCCCCTGGGCGCCCCCCGCGCACTCCCCGGGGCGGGCGGCCGGCTGCCCACGCCCGCTGGAGTGACCTTCTGGTGCGGGCGCAGAGGGGGTCCCCCCGATCGCGGAAGGTGAAGCGGCAGCAGCGGCCTGTGCGCCTGGGCTTGGCCAGCCTCCTCCTCCTTCCATCTCTTCCTCCTCCTCCGCCTCTTCCTCCTCCTCCTCCTCCTCCTCCTCCCCTCCTCCTCCTCCTCCCCCTCCTCCCCCTCCTCCTCCTCCTCCTCCTCCTCCTCTTTCTCCTCCTCCTCCTCCTCCTCCTCCCCCTCCTCCTCCTCCCCGTCCTCCTCCTCCTCCTCCTCCTCCTCCTACAGATTACATATTACAGAAGCGAGAGTGGTCCACCGTGCAAGCACACTGGCCACTAAAGAAAGCAAAAAGAGAAAGAGAAGGGACATCCACCTTGGAGCATCCTGCTGCTGCTGCTGCCTCCTCCCCCGAGACAAAACCCGCCTAGCCCTCCGCCAACGACTGCACCAGGTAGGCGTCGTCGCACGGCGGGGCGCGGGGGGGAGGAGGGAGGGTAAGGGGTCCAAGAAAACACCCACAATAGTATTTAACCAAACGACTTGGACCCCTTACAAGAGGTTGGGTGGACAGCACTGCGTGCCATCCAGAACTGTGAGAGTGGGAGCTGGGTCCTCGTTGAGACAAGATGATATGCTCACGATAAACCACGAATCGGCGAGGCCACAGCTCCTACTCCTTCTTACGCCTCTTCAGGGCGTCAATCTCTATCATAAGCTCTAAATTCTGAGTGTTGAGATCAACGATCCTGCCACGCATATAGTCAATCTGGTCAAGAGCCCGCTTGAGCGGGTCTGACTCTGACACAGGAGGATCTGGATCTAGCACAACTGGGGCAGAGGCACTGGAGCTGCAAGAGCTGGATGGGGTTGGCAGCACGGCAGGATTCGTGCTGGGCTTGGGTGCGGGGCGCTTTTTAGCGACCACACTTGGCATGAGACGGACAGCAGGCTTAGCTTTGAATGGCTGCTGGGGTGGCGGTTCAGTGGGCGGCCTCTGGGGACCGATCTCACTATCGCGAGCACTGAGCTGGTCTGGAGTGAGCCACGTCTCGTTGCACTTGACCCCATCGCGAATCTTAGAGCACAACAAACTGGGTTTCTGCTGAGCTCTCCAGTGGTGAATCCAGCCTCCACAATGGTGGTGGTGCTGGCATTTGTAAATCATGCTTGGAGCTCTCGGGGCGCTCGACACAGAGAAGCTGCGGCGGGAGGGGGGAAAAGAGGAGAACAGAGCCTTCCCTCCCTAGAACCCCCACCCCGACGTTTCGGCGCGGACGTTCAGCGCATCTGACACTCAGCACTGACGTTCGGCACGCTTCTGCGTCCCCGAGGCTACACTTGACTTCAAACTAAACAAACTAGACATCAAACTGGACTGGGTCAGAAATTCTGAGGCCTCCTGATCCTGGGAGCTCCTGCTTCTGGAGCTTTCTCAGTTCTGAGGACATCTTACGAGGGCAATTGCCTAACAACTTTGGAGAGCCTCTGCCTGAGGTGAATCCTCCGCACTCACTGCAGAATATTACTGGGATCTTGCTGCCAATTATAGTACAATACATAATCTTATGGTGGCGGCCTCTTGGCCTCGGCAGCCATGTCTCTGATCTTGTTTGGCACTGGTTTGCAAGATGTGCGGGCGCGGGCGCTTGCAACTTTCAAGCAAGATCTGCATATGAAAACTGGTCCATTCCACACTGGGTCATGGTCCTGCGACCTACTCTCTGTGGCACTGGCTTCGTGAGGTCTGGCCACAGTTCCTTGGCTGGGGGCCAGAGCGCAAGGACCTTTCCTGTACCTAGGACAAGAGATTTATATAATTGCATGGCGGCCTCGTGCTCCTCCACTTCATTGGCATGCAAAGCGTGCAGTTTAGCTGCTTCACCTGCGTGGTAATCAGCAGCTTTGTTGCCTTGGATGCCCAAAGCATCTAGGGAATATGGCGCTTCTTCTGTCTTGCGATGCGCCATGGTTTTGCGCAACTCAAGCCATGAATCAGAAGGGAGGTAGGATGCAAGTTTGCGCCAAAAGGTGGCAAAGATGCTGGTCCCTTGGAGCACTGCTTCGGGCTTAAAAATCCTTGCACTAGACCAGAGTAGTATACAATTATGGGTGCGGTCCGTGGATGTCCCGGCCACTGTGCCGCTAGCAAAAGTCCTAAGTGTTCCGCATGCCCTGACATTTGAGGATACTGTCGTGGCAAAGGTGTTCTGGCAGCTCGTATAAAATTGCCTTCATTGTCGGTCTGGACTGCTGATGATCCAGCTCGCGAGATGCGAGGCATTGATGGGCATAGGCAGCTGCCATCAACATATATGGGCAAGTTCGCTGCCATTAATTCTGGTTTGCCAGGACCGTCTGGTCCGATATGTTGTGGGAGGAGGTCTTCCACTGGTGGGTCTACTATGGCTCTCGGGACCCACAGCCTGTTAAATAGAAGTCCTTCCTCACCTGCTGCTTTGGCTGGTTCGATGAGGTCTGCAAGAAACTCCTGGCGTACCTCCTCAGCATGGGGGCATAGCCAGATTCGATGGTGGGGTGTGTCTAACTGCTGGCAGTAAGGGCATCATCCGTTAAACGGGTAGCCCCACTTGACACGCGTTTGGCCTGTTGTCAGGCAGCCGCAACATAAATGTCTGACACATCTGGCCTCCTGGGGACTCAGATGTTTGGGGACCTTCCTAAATGTGGGGGTAAACAAGTCCCACCAAAGTCCTTGCTGTGCAATTGGGGGCTCAGGGGGAAACTTGGAAGTGACATATTCCTGGATCAGTTTGTCCTTATACTGCCAGACAAACTCTTTAGACATCCAACGCGGGGAAAATTCAAGAATGTTTAAAGTGCATCCGTATCTGTCGATCAGATGCGTTGCACCTGGGGCTTGCCAACCCGCCTGCTTTATCCAAAGGAGCATCTGGGAAACAGGGCCGCACGACTTGGCAGGCCGAGTCTTGAACTTCGATTTGGCGAGTCCAGCTTTGGCGACGTTAAATGCACTT